AAAGACAAAGACAAAGACAAAGACAAAGACAAAGACAAAGACAAAGATACAACGACACAAAGACAAAGACAAAGACACAAATATACAAATACATAAAAACACAAAGACACAAAGACAATGACAATGACAATGACAATGACAATGACCATGACAAAGACAAAGACAAAGACAAAGGCAAAGACAAAGATACAACGACACAAAGACACAAAGACACAAATATACAAATACATAAAAACACAAAGACACAAAGACAATGACAATGACAATGACAATGACAATGACAATGACCATGACAATGACAAAGACAAAGACAAAGGCAAAGACAAAGATACAACGACACAAAGACACAAATATACAAATACATAAAAACACAAAGACACAAAGACAATGACAATGACAATGACCATGACAATGACAATGACAATGACAATGACAATTACAATGACAATGACAATGACAATGACAATCACAATCACAATGAAAATGACAATGACAATGACAATCACAATGACAGTCAAAATCACAATGACAAAAACAATGACAATGACAGTCAAAATCACAATGACAAAAACAGGCACACATACTGATATCTACACAGACACACAAAACTAGGCACAGGAATAGGCAAAGGCAAAACTTAACAAAAGACACATACACGGACACAGGTGCATAAAAACACAAGACAAAAGGTATACACAGATATAGGAAAAGACAAAGACACGCTGACAGACACAGACATAGACACAGCCAGTGACAGGGACATGGTCGTGGACGCATATACAGACAAAGACAAATACACGGACACGGGCATAGACACAAACATGGAAATGGACACAGATGTAGACAAAAACACAGATAAAGATACACATAGTCAAAACAAAAACATAGACACAAAGACAAGACAAAGCCACAGATATGGACACAGATACAGTCACTGGTACACAACGGGTACACACGCACACACAGACACAAACACAAACAAAGGCAAGCATAAGCACAAAGCCAAGGACCACCACAAAGACAAAGGCACAAACACAGATAAAGACACAGACATAGGAATAGGCAAAGACAAGACTAAACAAAAGACATACACGGACACAGATGCACAAAAAGGCAAGACAAAAACACAGATATAGGAAAAGACAAAGACACGGCTACAGGTACAGATATGGACATGGACATGGACATGGACGTGGACATATATACAGATAAAGACAAAGAGACGGGCATAGACATAGACGCAGATACAGACACAGACGCGAACATGGAAATGGACACATATATAGACAAAGGCAGGACGAAAACCCAGTCAAAGAAGCAGACGTGGACATGGATATGGGCACGGCTGTAGCCAAAAACAGATAAAGACAGGCACACATATAGATACAGACAGACACAAAGACAAGACAAAGCCACAGATATATACACAGACACAGATACACTCCCACGTACACATACAGGAACAGGCGCAGACACAGACCAAAGATGACAAAGACTATTATAAACACACACGCAAGGACAAACACAAATAAAATGAAACAAAAGGCACACATACAGAAACGGATACAGTCAAAGACAAAAACAAACTCAAAGGCAAGATAAAGCCACAGATATGGACACAGACACAGATACAGTCACAGCTACACATACAGATAAAGGCGCATACACTGACAAATATATACAAAAACAAACATAAACACATGGGCAAGGACAAACATAAAGACAAAGACAAGTACACATACAGATACTTACACAGACAAAGGCAAAGGCAAAGACAAAACCAAAAACAAAAACAAAAACAAACACAAAGACTAGACACATCAACGGATAGAGACACAGACACAGGAATAGGCAAATACAAGACTAAACAAAGGACATATACAAGGACACAGACGCAGAAAACGCAAGACAAAAACACAGGTATAGGAAAAAACAAAGCCACGGACACAGACACAGACACGGACGTGGACACATATACAGACAAAGACAAAGACACAGAGGCAGGCCTAGACATAGACGCAGATACAGACACAGACACGGACTTGGCAATGGACACATATATAGTCAAAGACAAGACAAAAACACAGACGCGGACATGGACATGGGCACAGATGTAGACAAAAA